AAAAATGCTTCATACTTAATTCAGTCACTAAAACTAAAAGGGAAAAAGCAGAGAAGGAGGTACAGTAGTGGAAGCAACTCGAGCAAACTCTTGATGAGGTGTTTGCTCCATATGATGGGCTGGTTGTGCAGTTCTCTGCACTTTGGTATATTCCTGAAATCTGTCAGGATGGAGAGCCAAGCACAGACTTTGGAGACGGAGCTAGACACAGAGGCCTGGGGTCTCCTTCTGTGCGAGCCCTTCTGCTGGAAGGCGCTGTCAGGTTCTAGAGAGGCGGCTCCGCCACCCGTCTCTGACCCCGCTTCCGACACCGTGCAGCAGTGCGCCATGGTGTCCCCCGTGCGGGTGAGCAGACTAGCTTCGCGGCTGCACCCCTGGGCGCCTGCCTGCACTTTCAACATGGATGGCTGCGACTGGACCGCGATGGCTGCAGCTGGGCGCTGCCAACGTTGTGGGTGATGCGTGCGCGGCTCTTTTGCCAGATCCCGGCCCCAGTGTCTCACTCTATGATCACACTTTCAAAGAACGAGCTAGAGATGACCGGTCATAGGTCCCAGGATGAGAGACTGGGTTCTTGTTATTACAGACGAACCTGACGGAGATTTGCTCAGGACTGCTGAAGCCGCTGCGGCCGCCGGCCCGGGCGTGTGTCTGTCAGGAGGGTGTCCACTCATCCATCCGTGCTTGCCAGTGACCCCTCGCCGCGCTCGGTGAGGGGAAGGGGCAGGGCCAGGGTAGAGCCCATTGCTGTGTCTGCCGGACCCTGATGGAGGTCACCGAGAGGAGGGGTCGTGCGCCTGCCTCCCAACCTGAGGGAGAGGCCCGCCGTTAACACCCAGTGTTCACCTGTTAGTGGCCACAGAGCTCCTTGTGCCCAAGTCTGGGGCTTTCACACAGAGTCTTGGCTTCTGCTGGAGGTGACGACGTTCCTGTCTTCGTGGGATTTCAGGTAGGGCTCCGTATTAAATCTTGAGCACTTTGGCCTTCTTAGAAAACTTCATAATTTTTTTTATGAGCTAAAAATTTAGTGATCTAAGATAATATGCACCATCCTGAGAAACATCATTTCTGGAAATACTTTAAAAAAACAAAGTGTGGGGCACCTGGGTGGCTTAGTCGGTTAAGCGTCCGACTTTCGCTTAGGTCATGATCTCACGGTTCGTGGGTTCGAGCCCCGCGTCGGGCTCTGTGCTGACTGCCAGCTCAGAACCTGGAGCCTGTTTCAGAGTCTGTGACTACCTCTCTCTCTGATCCTCCCCTGCTCACGCTGTCTCTCTCTCTCTCTCTCTCCTAGAAATAAATAAAACATTAAAAAAAAATTTAAAAAAAAAAAACAAAGTGAATGACGGTCATGTGATAGTTGACTTCCCTGGGGACAATATCACCACTACTGTGAAGCTTCAGAGAAACAGAGTTAACTTCTGTTTGCAGTTCTTTTGCCCGTTTCTTCTGTGGAGAAAATCCAGGCAAAGGGAAATGAAGGACACCTGGTAAGAATAATGTGAGACAGAAAAATGAAAGCCAACTTCATCTTCAGGGATACAGCTCCACAGAATTACAGAATATTCGTGACGAACTGGTCTAGTTGTGTTTGCAAAACATTGCTTTTTTCAGTAGTACACTCAGTCCCCGACAGTGTTTGTGAGTCGTCTTGAACAGTGAAGCACCTTCCACGCTCCGGAGTGAACTAGGCCACATCCCCATCTGTGAAGAATAACTGCCACATTCTCCGGGCTCATTAGTTTAGTTTCAAAGTAAGACTGACTTCGTAGGGTTTTATTTTACGTTTCCTCTCTGTCTGAGCACGTCTTAGCCACGGCTTATTTCCCATCGAGGGGGAGAGGTGCCTTCACGAATCAAATAACTATTACTGCATCTAATCAAAACATTGCGTTCCCCACAAGGATTGTAATGAATTGAATCACTTGCAGGTCATTCTGTGTTTTCAGCGACGGACAAGGTGCGTCTTCTCCATTTGGGCTGATTGTTGCCACCGTCTGAAAGTGCAGGTCATGACGAGTGTGCATCTAATAAAATGGCTGATGCTTGTGGCTCCAGACTGTTGTTTTCATGGTTCAAGTTTGCCATGACCAGAAAGATTCATTTCCTTTAAGAACTTTCTGGGCGAAAAGATAGGTTTCATTTAAAAGCATTTTCATGCAGAAAATGGGAGGCTGTTTCTTAAATAACCATTGCTGATTCTTCTCTCGCAGCTTCACGGCGTCATTTATGTGCATTGTGGGATGTCACACGATGCAGTGTTCGCTCCCACTCAGAACAGGTAACAACAGGCATCTCAGGAAGGACTTTTGCAGATGCTGCTTTGAGGAGAAAGGCGCATGGGCCTCCCGTCCCCGGGCTCTAACTCCAGAGCCGCTGCACCTGCCGGCCCGCCAGCTGCCTCGCCACCGCCCCGTTGGGGCCTTGGGCCCCCCGCCCCCCGTCAGCCCAGACACACGTTCCCTGGAGTCTTCACGTGTCAGCTGCAGCCGTCAACGTGTCCTTGACCGACCTTCGTAATGGGAGCCAGGCCACACGTCTCGTACTGAAGCTGCTTCCTCAGTGTCAGGGGCGCCAGCCCGAGCCCCTCCCCTCCTGGCTCTTCCCGCTGCGTCTCAGTTCCTGACGCCTTTGCTGTCACGGCTTCCCATCCCCGGCTCCTGTGCTCGCTTCTCCCGTCACCCTTCCTGCGCGCCTCTCAGCTTCTGTCGAAGTTCACGGCCCACATCACGAGTCACCACACGTCCACGAGAAAGTGGAAGGCGCAGCACCTGGGACGCTGGCCCTGTCCCTCCCGGGCCGGCGCGGCTGCTGGGGTCGTCGGCCGGGCTGTGCAGACCCAGATGCACTGCTCCCCTGCACACCTGCCTCTCGGAGCACGGACTCCCTTCCAGGGCGCTCTGGGGTTGTCCCTGGACGCAGCCAGGGCAGGGAGACGTCTGCCCTCATTTCTCCCCGCAGCCTGGGGTCTAGAGAGACTCGGGCTATGTCTTCATCTTCACCTTGCGCCTCCAAGAATCCTGGTTTGCGCAGACCCACGGTTTCTCTACGGGGCACAAAGAATCGTAGGCTTAAGCTTTCCCGGCAGGTGTTGTAAAGAGCCTTGTGCAAGTCTCTGCGTGGACATTTCCCATGTGTCTCGGGCTCACGTGGAGGAGCGGCGTGGGGGCCAGGGCGGCACAGGGAACCGCGCTGGACCACTGACCGCCGTAGCGTCTGGTGTGGGCACCCGCTCGTGCCCACGGACACGGTTAGCGCGACAGGACAGGGCACAGCCGGTGGATGACGGGCACGTGCTGGGAGAGGCGAGGGCCGCGAGGGGCTGGGCTGTGCCCTGGGGCCCTCGTCTGCAGAATGGGGCAGTGACGGTGTCTTCGGGGGCTGGACAGGGTGACCGAGGGGTTGATAGACGCGTCGTGTGCGGTGTTTGCTGTGACCACTAGTCTGTGTGTCAGAGGCAACGGGAGCAAATGGCCACCTTAGGCTCCTTGTCCGCTGATCTGAACAGCAGACAGGATGCGGTCCTGAGCGACCCGGGTGTCCCCACGGGAGCGCCCGGGAGGCCGTCCTGGAGAGAGACCAGGGTAGCAGTGGGGACAGCGCCGGGCTCCCTCCCCGGGTCCTTCATGGGCAGGTGCGTCGCTGGCGGCCTCACAAAGCCGCGCACAAGTTTAGAGTCAGGAGAAGCTGTTGAGAACCTCCGTGCTGACGCTCGATGGAGGTCACTTACTGTATGTCCTGCTTTCTCAGCACGGATATGAGCACGTCACCTGACGCGTGGCCGCTGTGGAGGGTCCTGTAGACGGTGACAGCCGCAGCGTCAGGCTCCCAGAGCGGGGCCCCTGGGCCCACGGCAGCAGCCCTTCCGGGAGCTGTTGGGAGTGCACGCCAGCAGCTGCTTTTCACATAAGCACGTGTTTCCAGTAAGCACAGCGGGAGAAAACACACTTTAAACCTTTGCACTTCAAGGTCAATACGGTATCTGGTTGTGGACTTTATTCCAGAAGCCGCTGTTTAGCCTGTGACAGAATCACGTGGAAGTTCTAAATCTGAAGGGCTCATCTGTACATTAAAATAGACTTTTTTTGTGGAAAAAGGAATCACGTAGATGTGTTCCTTCTTCTGCGACATGGCAATTCCCTTTCATTACCAGTAGAGCCCACACGATACTCATGTGCACATCGTGTTGCCTACACATTGGAGCGGATCTCCTCCCTTACACCCTCACAGCAGGATGGCATCTGGGTACCAGATTTGTGCCCCTAAAGTGAACTATTTGATGGCCTCTCTCTCTCTGTAAATATGTACACGTCTGTCCATCTCTTTCTGTACATACCTTTTTATATATATACGGTAATACCATCACAGAGGAATGTACATTTCTATTTTTTTAAGTTTTTTTTAAAAAGTTTGTTTATTTTTGAGAGACAGAGAGAGAGCATGAGTGGTGCAGAGGCAGAGAGAAAGGGAGACACAGAATCTGAAGCAGCTCCATGCTCTGAGCTGTCAGCACAGAGCCCGACGCGGGGCTCGAACTCCCGAACCGTGAGATCATGACCTGAGCCGAAGTCGGACGCTTAACCGACTGAGCCACCCAGGGGCCCCTGTATGTCTGTATTTTTAATCTTATGAACAGCTATAGAAAAAATTCATATTTAAATTGCTTAAATTCCAAGCTAATTTCGTAGGAAGCAAGGTGTACATGTTTTTGTTTCAAATTTATGGGAAAGACATAAAACATCACTTTTTGACTCCGTTTGGTCCTGCAGGCAGGGCTGGACTGTGGACGCATGAGGGGCTCTGAATCCTGAGACGGTAAAGTCCCGAAGGGCAGGGGGGAGGGCGGCGGGGTAACCAAGGGTGTGTCTGACCAGGTGGTGCTGGCCTGTTGGACTGGCTGCTGCAGAGTCGCTCGGCCGCAGGCGCCTCTGCTGTGCAAGACTCACGTGGGCTCGTGGCCCTTTCAACACAGAATCCCGTCTTTTCTGTCTGTCTTGCAGGCGTACGTGTATGAGATGGGCTCGAGCACATTTTCTCACAGACTGGCCGGACACACGGACACCATCGCTGGCGTGGCCTTCAGCCCGTCAGTCCCCCAGGTACAGGCTCGCGTGGGCAGGCAGCTTGGGTCGTGTTTCTGGTATTGGTTGGCTGGTGTTTTGGTGACACCCTGTAATTTGTAGAGGACACGCCAGTTTTCATCACTGGTGTGAGCACTGGTGTGAACGCTGGCCAGCAAGTCCCAGGCCAGGTGAGAAAAACGGCTTTGAAATTTCTCATAAACAGATCTGGGTCCAGGGGGAAGGCCACAAAATTTAACAAAATTGGCCTAATTAGGAGAAGAGGTGAAAATAGAATTATATCAGCTTCACATCAATCATACGGAGAAAGTGTGTGGTCCTGTATTAAACTGTGGAGGGTTTATGGGTGAAAACTGGTAAAACTGGGTAAGGTGAGTATTTGGGGATGTCGTGTCAGAGAACTGCACCAGCGTGTGACTGTGCGGGTCTGGCTGCTGTGTGCGTGTGAACCGAGGTGGGCTGCGCCTGCCCCTGCGGCACACGGCTGCCGTCGGGGCGCCCTGCGCGCGCGGGCACTCTGGCTCCTGGTGACGCTGAGTGTCTAGGACCAGATGCGTGAGGCTGGCCACGTCACTGAGATCAGCGCCCCCACCCGTGCTGCCAGGGACCTCACGTGCCTTGTCCCAGCGCTAACCGTGATGCCGCCACGTGGCCCGCTGCCGGCCGCACTCCACTCGAAATGTTTTCTGCACTTGTTTCTGCATGTGGTTCACTTACCACCTCCCCCACCCCCCCGCTCGTCAGGCCACGCCGCAGATACCGTGGGTGCCGCTCTCCTGACCAACAGCATGTGCTGCCCTTCCCCTTCTGGACCTTTTTACCGTACTTTTTGAAGGTTTGGATTCCTTTTTGGATCCTTTGACACTGCCCTGGTGAGACAGTGGAGTGGCCGGGAGGGAAGGAGAACAGAAGATGGAAGTAGAGGTAGAGGACAGGTATTTTTCCTCATTTTTAAGTTTCTTGTTTATATCCTTCATATCTTTATCTGTGGACCCAATGTTTTGCTTGTTGATTGATCTAGCTTTTAATTTAAAATTGACATTCTGTCCTTTGTATTTATAGTGTTTTTCATAGATTTGGTTTTGCTTTTTGTTGTTTTTTCTCTTTCAAGGACAGAACTTGGATTTGTTCTAATTATTCTAGGCCTGGAAATTTTTTCCTCTTCAAAGATTTATCTTTCTGACGGAATGACAGTAGAATCTTTAACTTATTATTGTAAGATTTACATTCCCTGCCAGACAGTGCCAACATCTGGGTCGTTTCAGAGTCTTGTTCTGTTGATGGTTATGTCTCTTGACAGTTGGTTTGCTTACCTTTCTTTCTGACGTGTTGTAATTTTTAAGGAATTCTGGCTGTGGACTGTGGGAGGACGTCCTGTGCCTGGATGAACAGGTCTCTTTTTCTGCCAGGCTGTTAGTTTGGTCACATTAGGAGCTGAGCCAAGTGCCGTTCACTTTAATTATTAAAACTATGGTTATAGTAAGGTCATTAGAATTAATTGGCATGGATCATCACACAAATAAAAGTACACAGAAAATACTGTTACTTTCTAGGAACTTTAAAATTTATGATATTCCTCCCAAGTCATCTTTTTTTTTTTTNCATGTTCTACATTTCCAAGTTCAAGGCCCACCTGAAGTTTTAAATATATTTAGAAATTTCTCTAAAATGGTTGTCATATTTTTTGGTTAAAATAAGTTGCTACATAATAAACCTAAATTAACTTTTGAAATATTCTTTTTTTTAAAAAATTTTTTAATGTTTTATTTATTTCTAGGAGAGAGAGAGAGACAGCATGAGCAGGGGAGGGTCAGAGAGAGAGGGAGTAACAGACTGAAACAGGCTCCAGGCTCTGAGCTGGCAGTCAGCACAGAGCCCGACGCGGGGCCCGAACCCATGAACCGCGAGATCATGACCTGAGCGAAAGCTGGACGCTCAACCGACTAAGCCACCCTGGCGCCCCCTCCCAAGTCATCTTTTGTCAAACTTTCAGAAGATGTTATTCACTAAAGCACATGAGGAAGAAATTTTTTTTTTTAATATTTATTTATTTTTGAGAGAGAGAGAGGGAGAGAGAGGGGGAGAGAGAGGAGACAGAGTGTGAGCAGGGGAGGGGCAGAGAGAGGGAGACACAGAATCCGAAGCAGGCTACAGGCTCCGAGCCATCAGCACAGAGCCTGACGCGGGGCTCGAACCCATGAACTATGAGATCACGACCTGAGTAAAGTCGGGCACTTAACCGACTGAGCCACCCAGGTGCCCCTGAGGAAGAAATTTAAATCTGCATGTTTCAAATAGGCCACCTTACTTTGAGTTCTGCTGAGGAAAACTAACATCTGTATATCTGGGAAGGAGTTATTTTCCTTGTTTTTTAAATTGATTAAAAGTTTGTGATTATTTTCTCAGTATGGATTTGTAAGTTCACAAGTAAGATTACACTACACCCTACAAATCCCCATCTGGAATAACCTGCCCTCATGAGTGGCGTGAGGTGAACTTTGCGGAGGAAGGTGAGGGGTGAGCCACGGAGAGGCTGCCCTGGTGAAAGTGTTCCACCAGATGAAGAGCCGTTTTCTTACTTTGTGTGTGTGTGAACAGCGTAGTTTTAATGAGCCAGTTTCCACTGGCTTCTACATATAAATTTACAAGACTTGTACCTCAGTGAACAAAGATGTTACTTGACAGGCTGGTCACATTCAGGGTCATCTCAGGGCCTGGAGCACAGTGCTGCTCACACGTGCATCCGCACTAACATCTGCAATCACGTCCATCTAGAAGAAGGGAGATGTTACTTGAAAGACTTTTTATATGTGGCGTCATTTTAACCATTGACCAATCCCATACGTGTGTACATAACTTTAACACTTGTACCTTTTTTGTTGATTTCATAACTTTTTAAAATTGACAAAAGGGATTTGTTGAGAATGAGTAGGAATACATTCCACAAGGACCATCTTATGATTTACCACAAGGATCTCTGGACAAGCAAGTATCATGTATGCACCAGGGCCTCTCGTCTCACACTGAAGACACCGCTTCACAAAGTGGGTGCAAGATTGCACTATTTCTGACCTGTATCCCCTCTGGATGTGTGGCGGTCTAGAGCCCTCATCTGGGTTGAGATTTCTGCTTTTCACTTCCATTTTAGTGCTTGCGTTTGCCCTTGTTCAATTTTTAACTCTCCAGTCAGGCTTCTGTGGAAGGCTTTGCTCCTCCCCGAAATTCTCTATGAAAGCTGCCTCCGACTTCTTTGTGGTCATGTGATCACAGGGCCAGAAGCAGCCTCAAGAGATGCACTGAGTTGCTGTGGGTGCATCATGGCCCCAACAGACTGGAAAAGTGCATGAGAGGGAAACGGCGTTCAGTCAGGTGGGGGACTTGGAAGGGGGCCGCAGGAAATCAGGTGTGAGCGTGAGTTACCTGGTGGAAAGACGTCACACGTTTTCTCGGGAACCTGGGAGGCCAGTGGCCTGTCAGGAGAGCTAAGCACCAGCCAAGTCCAGCCAAGACGAGGAAGAAACAGGCTGCCTGCACGGGAGGCAGAAGAAACAGAAGTAGGAACAGGGCCTCAGGGCCACACTCCGCCATCGAGAGACCTCCACCGTCCACGCTGGCTCTCCTGGGACGGAGCCACAGGTGGCTTTGCTGGTTGGAAGCGACATAGACGCGAGGAGCCCCAAGTCACGGCGCTAACAGTTTTTCCTGAATTTAGGAATCATCTGAGAACAATTAATATTTTAGGTGTTTGTAATGTTCTAAGGATTTTGATATAGTAAAATACCTGATTCCAACTTGAAATATGAATTGATTTTTATTTGTAACTTTTTAGTTGAGAAAAACGAGAAAATTCTCTTTGTGAGCAGCATTTGAACAGTTTATTATTTGTTTTTAAAGTTCATTTATTTTATTTTGGGAGAGAGAGCGAGTACAGAGGGGGAGGGGCAGAGAGAGAGGGAAAGAGAGTCCCAAGCAGGCTCTGCAGGGCTGGACTCACGAACCGGGTTTTCATGATCTGAGCTGAAATCCAGAGTTGGACGCTTAACTGACAGCCACCCAGGCGCCCCTAATTTTTTCATTTAAAGTCGTCAAGAAAATATAACACATTTGAAATGAATCTTGACAATTTTAGAATAATTTAAATTGTAAAGTTAATTCATTGCCTAAGGGTTTTTATCTGTTAATCATGAGTAGATTTAACATAAAAGCCACTTTGTATGTGATTGTTAAAATTTACTAGATTTCTATCAGTCCTCAGTTTTTGTCAGCATTCAAGAGTCTCTCATGGTTTGCCTCTCTCCCTTTCCCCCACCATTTCTGCCCTTCTTCTCCCCCTTGGTCCTCCGTCAAGTTCCTCCTAATCCTCCTATACGTGCAAACATATGATATCTGTCCTTCTCTGCCTGACTTATTTCGCTCAGCATAACACCCTCAAGGTCCATCCATGTTGCTACACAGGCCAGATTTCATTGTTTCTCATTGCCATGTAGTATTCCATGGTATAGATAAACCACATCTTCTTGATCCATTCATCTGTTGATGGACACTTAGGCTCTTTCCATGTTTTAGCTATTGTGGAGAGTGCTGCTATGAACATTGGGGTACATGTGCTCCTATGCCTCAGCATTTCTGTATCCCTTGGGTAAATTCCTAGCAGTGCTATTGCTGGGTCATAAGGGAGTTCTATTGTTAGTTTCCTGAGGAACCTCCACACTGTTTTCCAGAGGGGCTGTACCAGTTTACATTCCCACCAACAGTGTAGGAGGGTGCCCGTTTCTCCACATCCTCGCCAGCATCTAGAGTTCTCTGATTTGCTCATTTTAGCCACTCTGACTGGCGTGAGGTGGTATCTCAGTGTGGTTTTGATTTGTATTTCCCTGATGAGGAGGGATGCTGAGCATCGTTTCATGTGTCTGTTGGCCATCTGGATGTCCTCTTTGGAGAAGTGTCTGTTCATGTCTTCTGCCCATTTCTTCACTGGGTTGTTTGTTTTTCGGGCGTGTAGTTTGGTGAGTTCCTTA